ATATTAGCTGAAAGGTGTATCTATGACAAAAAATCTGATGAGACATTTCAGTTGGTTGATTAGCAGAAAGTTTTACTAAATAACGTAAACAACATAACGTAAGCCATTGGAGGTCGTTGTTCATAAGGGGTAAAAGGTTTACCGATATATAATATAAAACTAGCCACGTTTTCAGTTGGCTACTCAAAGAGAGCATTTTTTCTACTTTACAACTTAATACAAGTTATATTTCGAGGAATCTAATCGCAAGACGTAGTTTTATTTTAACAAAAAAGAACAATAACATAAGCTACGTTACTTAGCTGGTTTTGTTTTATATACAACTCAAAATAAAAAATGATACTGATCGACTGTTGATACATCAACATTATCCAAAAGAAAACTACTTTTTACAACAAGTTTGTGCTGCAATTTGTAGTTTCTGCTAAGTATAAATATAGTCTTTGTTCTGTTAGAGCAAGTTTAAAACAGGTATGTATCAGACAAGTGAGAGAGTTTCGTGTGACTAAGAGTGTGATATCCCACAATCCCAGATTACCTACATTAACAATCATTTCAACTACACATACTTAAAATAGATAAGCCTGTTGAAGTATGTTACCTATATCAAAGATAAAAATTAGCATCAATATATAACCTATTAGATCCTGTATACTAGGGCATTAATGAATTAAATGTAGAGCACTTACACAAATATTTGATAATTTTACCCGAATATGCTGAATTAAAAGTATATCCTCTACTAGTTATGAAAAAATGAAACGCAATGGTTCTTTAACTACAATATCTCCCCTTTCCTTATTTTAAGGATTTCTTAGACCCTAATCTTAACCTTAAGTGTTAAATACCAAATTATGAGTTTAATTAACGAGGATATACGTTCCATTATCACCTCATTAGGTTATTGCAAGTTTCATACTCACCTCCTAACATGATGTCATCACATTTCTATGTTCATTAACAATGGAAAAAATATATATTTAAACATATGAGCTCTAATAGACAGACAAAATAAGTTAAAATAAAATTGAAAGGATTAAAAATAGTTGTATTTTTGTTGATGTTTATTATAAAACTGAACAATTATCGTAAAGTTATTGTAACTGAACTGGTACCAAATGATTAATAATGGCGTAGCAGTAAAAGCAAATTTGAATAAAGTGTTAAAATATGTCGTAAAAAGAAATATAGAAACAAGATAGTTTCTCATAATACAAAATCTGACCAAACATTCATTTAAATAAAATTCAAATAAACATACAGAAACAAACTTACATGTATAAAATGCAAAATGGAATTAGCTACAATGGCTCATGACAATATTTCAGAATATGAACATAAAGAAAACGCAATACGAGTTCACGTATAATACGAGATAATGGAAAATACAGGACAATACAAAATGGCAACATGTGTTTGTGTGTTTCAAAGCAAAGCCACATCGGGCCATCTGCTGTGTCCACCGACAGGAATCGAACCCATGATTTTAGCGTTGTAAATCCTTAGACTGACTGCTGTTCAAGCGGGAGCACAAGTATGAGATTGAACTGAAAATTGAAACAAAACAATACAAAATATTTTCAAAACAACTGTACACAGAATTAAAAAATTAAAAACCAACAAAGGAAAATCAACTGAATATGATTACAAATTACAAACTCAAGATACAGTTACATAGTAAATGAAACTCAATTGAAAAATAAACAATACAAGAGAAAAAATAAAAATCCAAAGACACGTAAGTAATACATACGGTATCTAAAAGCCCCCCAGTGGCACAGCGGTATGTCTGCGGACTTACAACGCTAGAAACCGGGTTTCGATACCCGTGGTGGGCAGAGCACAGATAGCCCTTGTGTAGCTTTGTGCATAATTAAAAACAAAACGGTATCTAAAAAATAACTGCCTTCATACAGTCGAAAGGAGGCTGTCAAGAGCCTTTGTAGACTTCTTTTTTGGAAGAAATCTTTGATCCTATGAAAACCTATTTAGTCATGCCTTCTAATTCTAAAGCCAACAATTCTCGTTAGTATCAGATCTGAACTTCGTCCAATCTCCATGTTGCACCCAGATACTGGCCTCCATTAAGCTGACCTAGAGCTGACAATAGTACCACCACCAGTCTGTGTTCTGTAGATCCAGGTAGTCAGAGTAGTGAAGGATAGTACACTTTCAAACGTAGTGGTTGGAAGACGTATCCAGACATTCTGCATATTCACAGATTTAGCAACGTTAGTGATACGAGACTTGGATGGTCACCAGATCTTCAAGAATACGTTCTTTGGGTTGGTGTTTTTGTGCAAATTTTAAGACGTTAATACCCATCTCCACAATGCAACATAGTAGTCCTGCACCCCTCAACTTGACAGGGGTGCTGATGTTTCATCCTTTCTTTAGCATACAGGAAGGAGAATTGTTGTGTCAGATTCTGGGTAGCTGGACTGTTGGAATGGTAGATGATTTTTAGTATTTTGGTGGTACCAAACACCAAAACATTGAGGTCCAATACCATCAACATTGTTGGTTTAACTCAACTTCCCTAAGCTGATTTTGGCTCTTTCTCCACTGAATTAGGCTTTAAAGATTTAGCAATTCACCTGAGATAACTGGCATCCCAGTGAGTTCATCACTCTACAAGCTTGCCAAATATTACATCATATTCTTGGATAGTCTACTTGGATTCATACACAAGATAATAAAGTCAAAACTGAAAACACCAAGTCAACCCAAGGTTAAATGCTAGTAAAAGTCATCTAGTGGGATAAAGTAGGGGATTGGTACAGGCACTCCCTCTACTGAAATAATACACATGTCCCAAGTACTAAAGAAAGTCCAATTCACAGAACTTCGACGGAACAATGGCTCATAGCAATAACAATAAAACATAAGGATTTATTACTAAACGTGAATATTATGAAAATTAACCTTAGAGTATTGCAAGTTGATATACTTTTGGCTTTGAATTCAAAGACAATTACTTAACCAGTTAAAAAAATCACCTTCCACGCAACAGGGTATGAAATTAGCATCTAATAAGATCATTAAGGATTTAACGACAAAATAAAGAAGGATGAGAAATGTTGTTCTTTATACAATTTTCGCTTTCTATTCTGAAAAAAAATAGTAAAATCATGCATGACTTTACTATGGATAAATAGAGTTAAAAGCAAAATTTGTA